ATCACACTCTCTGACACAACACAAGGGACAGACACTGGGTGGCAGAAAACGTAGTCATAATGGGGGCAGTGCGGAGAAAGCCTCTCTGTGCAACTAAGGTCTAACAGGAAACAGTTGTTTCCACCACTTCTCCCAGAGGGGAAGGCTGCCCCTCAGCTCTCACCCCCACGCCCACAGACCCGCAGAGGCAGCGGCATCCCCACGAGATACACACAGCACATGGGCACCCACAGAGATTTACACAGACAGACGCTGAGACACACAAGCCTGGGCACATGCATGCAGACCCATCCACACGCATGCACAGGCTCACATGTGTGTCCATCCTCCTGTGACATTTTAAACCTGTGCCTCAGGGCTATGTGAGGGGCCTTTTCACCCCACAGCACCCTAAAAGAACTGGGGCCTGAATGTATGGGGAGAAGTCATTCCTGCTGAACTCAGTACAGGCTTGGCCAATTGCTTTGCACCCCACTAAACCATGGCTACCACTTCATGCAATTCTGCCCTCGGTTGCTCTCCTGGCACAGGGCCCAGAGGCCAGCACCCCCATCTCACTGCATACGTGACTTCTGCAATCCCAGTCTCCAGGCATCAAACTCTTCCCTGAAATACTGGCACAAATGAGTCCTTTAGACTCAGCAGCATCCTGCTAGTTCTAAAGCTTGGATACACATTTACATGTCCACAATGGTGAGCGGGGGAACTCAGGAAAATTGAAGGTCAGTAGATTTTGGTTCTGTAGGAATTTTAATTTTTTTTAGCATAAGAAAACTTTAAATACACACACACACACGCACACACACCAGGGCTTTTTTTAAATGGGGAAGATACAGAAAAACCAGTGATCTCATGTTTTAAAATTGGAAAATTACATAGCAATGTATTTAAACATTGTATATAAAACATCATCACCCTCCTTCTGAGCCTCAGCTCACTGGCTCCCAGGTTCCCAGGCAGAGTGAAGGCCAAAGTGGGATTGATTTACTCTGGGGGCTTTGTTGGTTCCCAGCAGCTCCTTATACCAAAAGCAGTCCTCAAATCTTAAACCCAGGCAAAGCATAGAGAACACTGTCTGGCTTCTCTCTGGGAGTCAGTGGGAAGGCCCAGGGACACCCCGGGTTCTGTGCATGGTGGTTTCCTGCTTCTCCTCCCACACACACCTCAAAAAAGAAGTGCAGACTACAACCTCATGAGGGTGGCCTTTGTAATAACCACCCCGAAAGCAGCGGGTTACAATTCAGCTGCTCCCAGTAGTGTTGGCCCTGGCAGACTCAAAGTTTGCTAGAAAAGTCGATAGAAGGCTGACAGATCAAAAGTGAGTCGTGCCAGCACTCCTCTTAGGAAACAGTTAGACGGGTGTCTGACTGCTAACACCTCGGTTCTTTTCATAGTAGGTCTGAAAATAGCTCAGAATTCTTTAAATGTCTGGAGATGTAGGCGATGAAAAGAGTTTTGAGTACAAAAAAAAAAAACTTCCCCAGAACCCCAATTCTGTTCCTTCCACAGTCTCCAGCCTACCTGCTCAAGCAACATTCCTGGATGCCCAGAAACTGGTAGATGGCCACATGTCACTAGGGGGGACCTTTAGTGTGGGACTCAGAGCTGGCCATCCATGGACAGGTGATTTTCCTGGTCACTCAACATTCAGATCATCAGGTCCTTTGTGCTGTCACCTTTATGTGCCCCTTGCTACAGGTCACTTACATCCTTGCGATCTGCCCGTTTCCCCATTGAAGGCAACTCCTTTCTAAATGGTCCCTTTTCTCTGTCTTTGAGTTTTCATGGGCCATTGGGGTTTCCACTTCCTCAGCTGCGACCCTTCTTATTGGTGGTTGTGTTTAACATAAGCACCCACAGTGGCCAAAGTTACAAGAAGGTCTAGGGTACTGGATGGGAAAAGGTGAATCAGGGTGGGGAGGGTGGGTTGCAGCAAAGGAAGGATCAGACAGGGCAAGTCTGGACCTGAGTCTGCTGGGAATCAGTGAAACGCAGGTTAAAGCAGACTGAAGTGGGGTGAGAGCTTGTAGAATGGATACGATAAGATCAGTGTGTGGCAATGCTGTGAAGAAAGCATTGGTAAAACCTGCAGAACTTCTCCATGATGGTCTGAAAACCACCTGGTCTCAATCACCTGTGAGGCTGAGGGTGCAGCGAGGCCCTGAGTTCCATTGACATGAAACAAAATCACCTGAGAGCTTTCAGACTGCAGATTCCTGCTCCCATCCCAAGAGTCCAGTTTTGTAGGTGGGTGATGCCCCGAGATGGACTTTGGGAAAAACTCCCTAGGCAATTTTACGAAAAGCGGCTCTAAAGTCTATACTGCCTGGTGACTGTGAGCAACGTCCTTTCCATTTATTCCCCGAAGTCTAGTATGGTGCTCAGCAATTAGCTGTTGGGGGATGAGTGCTACACTGAACAAATAAATGGGGAGGAGGTCAAGGAGGCTGGAACTTCACCTTGAGAGGCCAGGAGCTCTGTGGGCCCATGAACAGGAATGAGGAAGGCGTCAGGAGGAAGTTTGGAGTGAAGGAGGTAAGTCCCACCTTAGACATGGCAACTTCCAAACGCAGAGCGTGAGGTGGGGCCAGGCAGGAGGCAGGAGCCGTCTGCCTGCTCGTATGCAGGCTGCCAAGGGTAGACTCAGGAAAGGCGTGACGAGGACCATCAGGAGGAGAACGCCGAACCAGCAGAGCCAACAGCGCAGTGTTCAAGGTGTCCAAACGTCAGGCAGGAGGGAGGGCAAAGGACTTAGAGACTGATCGATGGGGTCAAAGAATTTGGGGAACTTGAGAACTCAGCAGAGACCACCGCATTCAGCTCTTAGGAAAGCACTGTCCATCGAGAGAGTGGTTTCACAGAGTGGCAGGTAAGTGAGGAAGTGGACAGAGAGGAAACTCAGAGCGCCCCCACCCTAGCACTTCTCCGGGAAGGGAGAGAAGCACTGCCAGACGACAGGCCAGCTGAGAGCGGCAAGGTCCTGGGGCTCAGTCACTGAGTCCCCACCTGCCCTCTACTGCAGGCTCCCTCTGCAGGGGCCACCTTGGCTTTCTCATGTGTCTGCACCTCTCCACACTGGTCTCGGCTTCCATCTCCAAGCTGATAGTGCCCATCCCAACCGCCCCCACCACATACACCTCCATCCGTGTCCCATAGGTACGCGGGCAACATGCCTCTACCTTGGGGAGAGATCTGGTGATCCCTGTTTCTCTTGGCGGCGGCACCAGCCACCCAGCCACAGACACAGCCATGCTTCCCGCACCCCTGGCTTGATGGAGGCCTGGAGAGCTGACCTCCTGGGTGACTGCCTGTCCTTGCTCTTCACCCACTCTCTGTCACTGTGACCTCAAGTAGGCCTGGGCCCACTCTGGCTTCCCAGCTGCTGCCAGTCACACTGGACAACAGTAGTCTGGCCATGTCCCACCCCAGTGACAAAGGGACGCAGCTCAAGCTCTTTAGATGGTCTTGCTCTGCCCGAGGACCCGGGCAGCTGGAAAACATGCTGGGCTCCTTTTGCTCTCGGTGGGCTTTGTTGTGCAGGTCCCTGCTCATGGAGGAAGAGCTTTCCTCCCTCCCCTTCCCTCTGCAGCTCTATCCTTGACTCTCACCAGCACCCGCGGCCTGGATAACGCCTGGCCTTCTTCCTGCTCACAACCAGAAGTCATCTGCAGAGAGGAGGTTTATTCCCTTTTCCCTATATCTCCACAGCCCTCTTCATCCAAAATGTGTTTAGTGGGCCCCACAGCTCTCTATGCCACGGGCCTGTGGAGGCTTAGGGAGGGAAAAGGCTGACTCCAGCCTTAGTGACCCCCGAAGACCACTGATGGGGATGGAGGCCGGGAGCATCCTGGAAACACAGCCAGTGCAACTGCATCCAGCGTCACCTCCGGGTTGCTTTTCCTGCTCTCCTCTCTGCCTGCTTCTTCATTCACCCTCTCCTGTGTATTGTCTCCTCCCATCCCTTCCTGGCTTCTTCTATCCCTTTTCCTCCCGAGGAGCTTGCAGGGCTCCAGGCCGTGCCTGTCCTCTCCTCCCCTGACAGCTGCATTCCCCTTGGCCGGGTCATGAAGCCCTGCTCCGGTCTGCGCCCTTCTGAACACCTCAGCATGTCAGCAGCCGACCCAGACTTCTGCTTGGGAGAATCCAGCCAGGAGTCTGGCAAGAGTGAAAAATGAGGTCACAGAGGGAGGACAACAGTGCAGCTTTTCAGACCTGCAGTATTAGTGGGATGGGGTGGAAATGATAGTTCAAAGTTCTCCTGAAAATAAGGAATAATAACCATTCGAGTGAAGTATTTAAGTTCTTCCCTCAATAAGTGTTTGTTTGGCCCTGAATATCTTTATACCACTGCTGGAGCGGGGAGACAAGCTCTGCCACACCTGATAGGAATGCATGGATTGTGGTAAATTTCCGGAGCTTTCTGGGCACTGCATATGGGCCCTGCAGAGTCCTGCCTCCGCTTACACGGAAGGGGATATCTGCAGTTCCACCTCCCCACAGTGTAAGTTACGTGTGGGATGGGGAGATTCATCTATATCACCGATGGCGAACCTTTTAGAGCTTTCAATGATACAAATAGCTCACTGCGGCACGCGCGCTGCAGGTTTGCCACCACTGACTACTGTACTGCACTCTTGGGAGTCCTAGGTGTGCCCCAACTACCTCATGAGAACATGGGTAGGGAACAATAACAACGACAAAAGAGCAGGCTAAGTGGGAGCAATGTGATTTTTCTCTGTCTAATAATTTTTAATAGCAAAAATGTGGACTAGGTATAAATAGGTATCAATAATTTAAAGCCCAAGCAGGGCATGCTGATGTATGCCTGAAATTCTAGTACTGGGGAGGCTGAGGCAGGAGGATTCCTGCAAGTTCAAGGCCAGCCTGAACTACATAGTGAGACCCTATCTAAAAACAAAAACAAAAATAAAATAGAATAGAATAAAAAATAAGAGGTGGGAATGTAGCTCAGTGCAAAGGCCCTGGATTCAATCCCCAGAACTGCAAAAAAAAGAAAAACAACAAAATAAAGCCCAGAGGCCACAATTGCTAATGATTAAAAACTCTATTCACTTGAAACAGACACTAGCCCAAGCATTTCCTTGGTGCTGTTGTCTCTCAAACCGTCATCTACTGTGGCTGCCTGCTGAAGAGAGAAAGGAAACCAAGTAGAAGGTTGTTTGTAAGCAGTCCCTCTGCTTTGCTTAAAAATCAATTAGGAATGTCGGGACCTGCTCGCGACTGTAATGAGGGCAGACAGAGGTGTACAGAAACGCTGTTTCAAACTGAGGGGAACGCCTGGGGAGGGCCTTGGGATGGTCAACCTCCTCCTCGCGCAGCAGCGGGAAGAGCTGAAGGCAGAAGTAACTGAGCGGGGGGCCTTAGCCCAGCGTCCTTCCCACTAATTCCCAGTGGCCTTCAGGAGGCTCAGACTCCAAGTCCAGGGCACGTGGAGCTGAGACACCGAACGAGGTCCAGCAATACTCACACGCAACCAACCATGACACTCGGGTGGCCAGCACCTAGCCTGCTTCCCGGGCCAGGAGTTGGTACGGCAGGCCGTCAGAGGTGCTGAGCAGGACAGCATGCAGGAGGAAAGCCCAGCGAGCCCCTGGGTCAGAGGGTTCCAAGAATACACAATCATTCCCCTACCAAGCACTCCACTGGCTCTAACTCTTGCCCAAAGAGACCCCACCCCTATCTCCCTGTGAAGAACAACCAACTTTTCCTGCCCAACCACTGCTCAAAAAGCCCAGACTTTCTCAGGAAGTCTGGTCCCCAACCTCAAATGTCCTTGTGTTCACCACTTGCTAGGGAGTTGAAGGGCCTCTGTGAAGCAGAGATGGCTGTTTTCTGTGTAAGCTGCATACTTGCGAGGCTGGAGGCCTGAGCAAGCCAGCCATGTGCCTCATTCTGAGTCGAGGCACGGAGAGGCAGCACAGCAATCAGATTTAATGGTTCAGCGGAGCCCGCGTCGATGCTGGCGCAGTAGTGTGTTAATGAGTGCTAGAACTGACATTGCAAATACAGCGTTCTCAATGTTTAAAATTACAACTCTGCAGCAAGTCATGCTGTTAAAACATACAAGAAATAGCAGTTCAGCTTTCGACTACATACCACGCGGCCTGTACAGATCACTGCTACCCCAAAGTGCGTAACAAATCATTTTCTTTGAAATGAAGCAAGAATGAGCAGGTAGTTCAGTGATTTGAGTGCTAAGATAAGTGGAAATAACAAACCCAAATATTAAATACCAATTACTACCTGACGAGCTACAAATCAACTCGGCATTACAACATGCCCCTCCTTAGCAGCAAACCCGAAAAATGTAGGGGTTTGGTAAAAACCACAAATCTGAGACCAATGTGCATCTGTGTAGTAAATTGATGTCATCTCCCAAACCAGCCCCTTGGAGATGCTCATCCTATATGCTGTGATAAAACCTGGCCCATATATTTGTCCCGGTGGCATTGAAAAGAGCCATGTTCACATGTTGGGAGTGAAGCCACTCTAAGCCTACAGCTGGAAATGATCTCGCATCAACTGTGTCCTCCTGAAGGAGGTTTATGGGTCAGTCTGACAGCCTGGTAGCCAAAGGTGGCCTCGTGTTTACAGCAGGAAGTTAGCCTGACCCTCCCTGCTTCACTCCAGGGGCCAGAGGATGCTGTACTGCTGTGTGAGGTGCTGCCAGCAGTCAGTCAGAGTGCTTGTCTCTGCGACAGCTCTGTGAACCTCCTACCTCGGTGGGACTTTGGATGGAGGTGGAAGAACTCCCCGGCGGCACACTTGGGCCTCCATCCTTTGTGGGAATTCACCACAGTGTTCGAGCTAGCTTGCTGTTCCCTCTGCCGACTCTCTGAAACCCTCCTGTAGAGAACTCAGTGCTATCGGGACAATCTCATCCTCAGAAGTGACTGGAGGTCCCAGCGGACAAAGGAATATTTTTTTTACAAGTATACATATATGTACAAGAGATGTTTAAAACACAGTCTCTAAAGCACTTTGGGATTCCCCCAATGAAAGGCACCAGAAAAATACAAGTCATTACCAAAAAAAAAGAGTCAAGTTTTCCAGCTTTCACATCTGCAAAGGCAACCACTTGGAGTGCCACTTGTTTGGGCGGTAAACCTGCTTGCTTAGAAAAAAATCCATGAGAGAGACTGAGTTAGTCTGCTTCCTTTCTCATTTCCACTTTGCACAGCCTTCATAGCCAGTAACCACGGATGCCACATTTAGTGACCTGATACCACCCGCCTTGGTAAACAAACCAATCCTCACCAGTTTGTACCATCACCTGCCCTGGCTGCAGCTGGGGATGATTTTGTAATTCTCGTGCCTTACCAGGCTGAAGAACCTCAGCCAAAGCCAAGAGTTCCAAGTACAAATTCTGAAAAACAACCTTGCTCTTCTGACTCACTGGCTGGTGGCTCACTCACCTGTCCTGATTTTTCTGAAAAAGATGTAGGCACTAACAGGTGGCTACCTCTCTGCACCTCATAGGACTCCAGGCTGTGGAAGGATTTGAACTGGAGGCTCAAGGGCATGAGTGGCCAGCGAATTCATCCAATAAATCGCCCACACTGTAGTAGCCATGGTAACTACAAGTACACAAAAGCCCTCTGTGCAGATCCTCTCCACACCCCTGGAATGTGGATTACCCTCATCCAACTAAAACACAAAATAGGCCTCTGAAGAGAAGGCCCAAGCTTTGGCTAAAAAGCCCACCTAACTCCACGCTTAGCTGTGGCAAAGACTGCACCATAATGAAAGCCACCTGGAAAACCATCAGCTTACTGACAAGATGATGGAAAAAATTATTTTACCAAGGGGCCCAGGCTCCACTTTGCAATGCATTGTGCTGGGTAACTGAAGGGGGCGAGCTGGGGCATTTTGGAGAAGGAAACAGTGGTCTCCCTTCAGCACAGCTGACAAATTTAAAGGTTTTTGAAATAGCCCTAAGCTTTTTCTCAAAGTTTATAATTATTCATGACATTTATGAAATAGCAGTTGTTTGTTTTATAACTCTTTTCTTTCTCCTAGCCTCTACCCACCCTCCTCTGACAAATGGCAATTGGAACGGAAGTCAGCAGAGTACTGTTCTTCCTGGCGAAGCCATGCTGCCTTCTGCACATCTCTTGTAGGTATACACTTCCCGATCACCAGGTTTCCATGTCACAGCAGGAACTCTGAGGCAATCCTAACATCATACACAACATGCTGTATCCTAGAAGCAAAGTTATCTGAGCAAATTTTGCTTGAAAATAAAAAGGGCTTTCATTTTATGAGCTTTCAGAGCAGGCAACAAAAGTATTTAGGCTACCGCCCTTGCTAGCAACCTAACAATGCTCACACCAGGGAGACAATACAACAGTAAACCTCCTCTAGGTTGAGGAAGACAACATGACCTTATTCCTAAACATCTTAAAAAACAAATATTTCAAAAAACATGCTAATACAGAAGACACAGCAAACTTTGGTCAAACAGCCTAAACTAGGAACCAATGTCTCTTGGATCACCCTGGGAAAGACAGAGGCCTGACCACAGGTGACAGGGCCCAGCCTGCATGGACCATGTCGAGCATCCAGGGACTGGGTCAGTGTTTAGCTGAAGTCCCTGTCTCTAATATATGTTTCTGGAAAGAAAAAAATGCTTCAATCTTCACTACATGTTTAACCGAGTAACATCCTCTAGAGAGTAACGTCTACCAGATGAACATGAAGCACATCTTTCTAAAAATGATTGCTGTACCCATGTGAGCCACAGAGCTACAGGTCATCTAGAAAAACAACACACAGACTTGTGTTGGTTGTGGGTGCTTCCCTTTACATTCTTTTTGTTTTGGTACTAAAACTAAGTGAAAGCAACGGATAAAGAATTGAGATTTTGTCTTTACATGACAGTGAGCAAAATCTCATGCTATCCTTGCTGACTTCATAGACAGCTGAGTTGCCACTGGACAGACTTGTGGGGGCTTCTTTTTGTACGGAACTCACATAACAACCTCAGAAACAGGAGCACGAACAACTCACAGACAGTACCAGGGCACAAGCACTAGAGTACACAGTGGACAGAGAAATTGGCATTCTGGGTACTCAGCTGGCAGAAAGATGAGCATTTTATGCCCACCATTTTTTGCCCACTGCAAAGACCAGCGAGTGTCATTTTGTTGAAAGATGCAAAGGCATGGTGTCAGACACACCATCCCCTAAAAGTGACTCTAAATACCATAACAGTGACCTGGGGTGCTATCCCATGCATCTACCCCCTTCAGGCTTGGGAAGACTCCCTACGCCATAACTCAAAGCTTCCCGGCAGCTCAGCAATGTGGGTTTCAGGATGACAGCTCCTCCTGGCTAATGTAGGGAATCATTTAAACTTAGTTCACTCGGTGAGCTCCTGCTCATGTTCGTCAGGCTTGCCATGAGGGATTTAACTTTATGGGCATAGTAGTCCCTTAAATTGATTGAAGGGACCTCCTTCATTCCATCTCCAAAGTCACAGCTGCGCATGGCACTCTCAAGTTGCTTTTGGCGCCGATAAAAGTGGGAGAACTTGTTAAAGATCAAGGTGATGGGCAGTACCACGACGAGAATACCTGCCAAGATGCAAGCAGAGGCAGTCAGCTTCCCTGCCGTGGTCCCTGGGACCACATCCCCATAGCCCACCGTGGTCATACTGACAGTCGCCCACCACCAGCAGGCAGGGATGGTGGCCAGGCCCTCATTCTCCTCCTTTTCGATGGTGTAGGCCACCACGGAGAAGATGGAGATCCCCACGGAGAGGTACAGCAAGAGCAGCCCTACTTCTTTGTAGCTGTACTTTAGGGTGGCCCCCAGGGAGCGGAGGCCAGTGGAGTGTCTGGCCAGTTTCAGGATGCGGAAGATCCGCATCAGCCTCAGGACCTGGGCCACCCTGCCCAAGTTGGCCAAGGTAGGCGTACTCTCCACCACCAGGTTCACCACTAGAGTGATGTAAAAGGGGACAATGGACATGAGGTCAATAAGGTTTAGGGCGTTCTTGAAGAACTGGAAGAAATCAGGGGCCACAGCAAACCTGGCCACCAGCTCCAATGTGAACCACGCAATGCCAAAGTGCTCCACGATTTCGAACCTGGGGTCCTCGCCAGGGTTGCCCTGGCTGTCAGGGATTTGGAAGTCCGGCAGGCTATTGAGGCACATGGTGATGATGGAGCCCAGCACCACCAGGATGGACAGGACACTGAAGACCCTGCTCAGGACCGAGTAGCCTGGGTTGTCCAGCGCCAGCCACAGCTGCCTGCGGAAGTTGCCCAGGGGCTGCCCGTCGAACTTGGAGGCGTCATTGTAGAAGGCCAAGATCTCATCGAAGGAGGATGTGGTGCTCTCCTGGTCGCTCTGCTCGTCCCATTTCTCCTGCTCGGGTTCCACTTTGCGGCCATGATAGCTGTAGCTGCAGCAAGAGTCAATGAAGAACTCGTTGATGCCCCAGTACTCGATCTCCTGGCTGAAGGAGAAGACGCACAGCTCGGCCATGACGTGCAGCTTGCCGGTGTGGTAGAAATGTAGCACGTAGGGGAAGAGCTCGGGGTTTCGGTCGAAGTAGAACTCCCGCTGGGCGTCGTCGTAGTCGTCGCACAGCTCTAGCATGGCCTCGCGCGAGTGGCAGAGCAGCAGGCGGCCCAGGCGCGTCTCCGGGAAGCGCAGCAGCGTGTGCGAGCGCAGCCTCCTCTTGAAGCCGCCCACGTTGATGCGGATCTCGCCGTCCTCGACGACGTTGGCCTCCGACACGTCCCACAGGCTCTGGCGGGTCATGCTGGAGCTGCCCGGCCGCCCGCGCCGCGCGGGGGCGCTACACCTGCGGGCAGAGAGACCACATCACGGGGCGCCGGCCTCCCCCCCTGCCCCGCGCTCCCCTCCCTCCTCTCCAGGCGGGTCTGCGGGTGCTGAGGGGCTCTGGGTGCGGGCATGGTCTGTGGGGTGGGCCGCCTCCCCGGGAAAGGCAGCGGCGTGCGTTCCTACTGGGATGGCCCTGGCTGCACCCCAACTCCGGGGGTCCTGGCGATCGCCTCTCACTGCTAGGGTCGGGCCCCGCGGCTGTGGGAGCCTGGGGCGCTGCGTGCCGACCGCGCCTTTGGGCAGGCCAGGGAGGCTCCCCCGCCCGGCCGCAGACAGGCGGGACCGAGCTGCGACGCGCACAGGCAGGGATCGGCCGAGCAGGGGGCGCGGAGGTTTGGGAGGGGGCGGGGAGGTTCGTCGCCCGAGCCGGTAACCCCGGCGGGGGGGCGCAGGCGCCGCTCTTCCTCCCCCAGACCTTCCCGCACGGCACGAGCCCCTGGGTTCCCCTGTCTGGGTTGCCCGCCCTCCTGGCGCCGTGCCCGGCCGCGTGTGCCGCGCCTCACCCCCGGAGCTGCCCCTGCTCGCCCTGCGCTATCTGGAAGGAAGCGCTTACCTGGGAGCAGCGGCGCCCGCGGCCGAGGCCGGCGGGAAACTTCCCAGACCCGCAGGGGAGCATCGCGGCGGTGGCGGCCGCCGCCTGGCTGTGCGGGTGCGCGCGGGTGTGCGCCTGGCGGCCGCGGGCGGATCCACCGGCGTCTCCTCGCGTCTCGGCCCCACACGCGCCGCTGCCCGCAGTGGCAGGAGGCGCACAGGTGGCTGTGTGGCCCCGACGCTGGTGCAGGCCCCTCTTGGGATCCGCGCGCCCCTCGCCCACCGGGAGAGGCGGGAGCCCACGCCGCAGGAGCCCGCAGCCGGAGCCGGAGCGGAGCCCTTGCGCCTCGGCGCGTCGGCCCTGCGCGGGGCGGGCGGTAGTGCTGAACGGACAGCTCCGCGCTCCTTGGCCGGGCGCGGCTGCAGTCCCAGGCTGGGAGATGCCGCAGCGACCCCCTGGCATCCCCAGCTCAGCTTGGGGCCGACTCCATTCCCTGACTACCCCCCCCCCCGCACAGCCTCCGGTGACAGCTGTTGTTGCCACCACCCCCGGGGCGCAGGCAGAGGGTTGCCTACGGTGACCTTTCCTGATTGGGTCTGAGGGGCAGCTTGTGTGCCTGGCAGGACGGAAACAGGATCTCCAGCTTTCCCCTTTTAGGGACCTGAAGAAAAGTTTTTTCTTCAGGGGGACAGTGGCGGACAGGAGCCAGAGGGAGAGGAGGGCAAGAGAGGTCAGGGAGCCTGAGGTTCCGGACAGCGCAGCTTGGCGTGGGGGTGGGATGGTGGGAGGGAGTCACGGAGCTCTGTGGGGAGCTCTGCGTGGGCAGCGCGTGTGTACAGGCCTGTGTGGTGTGTGGGCTGCAGGTGAGTGCATGGAGGGGTGTGTGTGTGTGTGTGTGTGTGTGTGTGTGTGTTTGTGATGTGAGGCTGTTTGCTGTGTGCACAGTGTACTGACACAGCACAGACATGCTCCATACCCAAACCCCATTCCTAAGGAGACTTAATGCCTCCTAGGGAGCTGAGCTAAGAAATATACCTGCAGTCCCTGGCAGCCCCTTACATGCATGGTGCCATTTGCAGAGCCTGGAGCACTGTGGAGTGTGTGCTTGGCAGGTCAGAGGTCCTGGGACAGCCCTTGCAAGGGGGCTCTGGACTCACAGCCGTGGTGAGAAAGAAGCACATCCTCTACTCATGGCCCTGGCGGTGCCACCCAGCTGGGGAGCTGCTCTGCATAGCTCAGCAGTCCCCTGGGCCTCCTTGGAAGGCCTGGGCAGAACCCTTGATCTGGCTTCATGTGGGGGCTCCTGGCTCTAAGCCTGACCCATCCGTGTGCCAGCCTCCTGCCTCTTCGTGTGTGTGTGTGTGTGTGTGTGTGTGTTACCCTCTGAAAGGGCTCCACACTCATGCCCTCTGGCATTTCAGTGAGGCTGCCCCTGTGGGAGGGAGAACAGGCTGGTGAGAGTCACATAAGCTTGCTTTCTCTTTCTCTTATGTTTGATACTAGAATTGTGTGTGTGTGTGTGTGCGTGTGTGTGTTTGTAGACAGAGAGAGAGAGAAAGATCTGGCATTTGGCATCTTTGTCTCCATGTCTATTTCTATGGGAGTCTGTGTTTTGCCTGGTGCTCACCTTAGCCTCCGTCTAGGTTGGCTGCTCTGTCATTTGAGGCCAGGGCTCCCCCACACCTGCTGGGCTGCAGACTGGAGGCCTGGGGTCTCCTTCTGTGCCTGCCCTGGTGGGGCGAGTGTGTTTCTGTGCCTGTGTGTGAGCCCTGCTGCCTCTTTCACGCTGGTCCAGTCCCTCCCACATCGTGGGGGAAGGGCCTGTCAGGGCCTCTGCAGCAGGTGCCCTTGGCAGCAGCACCTGGGTGACAGCCTTCAGGGCCTGCCAATCTCTCTATCTCACCCACCTCCTATCTTGCTTTCCAGCCCCTCCAAAGGTCGCGGCCCCTTCTGAGCAGGCCCTGCTCCTGCTACTGTTCCCAGCCACTCCCATTCCCTGGCTGCTCCTTCAGACTCTTCTGGTTGAACTAGATGCAGAAATCACCTTTTCTTGGTGTATTTGGAGGGTCTCTCCTCCTGGAACTGCTTAACTTTGATGACTGTGGGGGTTTCTTCCCTCCTCTGCTTCATTTACTGGCCTCTTCCTTCTATTCTGAGCTGCTTTCGTTCTTGCTCATTCCTTTTTCCTTTGTGGTCATGGGAGACTTTGCCCATGGAGAGAAGACCCCTCTGCCTTCTGTCTTTTTGTCTTCCCAAGCCTGCAGCCACCCTGACCACAGACCTCTGGGCTCTGCCTGATCCCTGGGACTTTCACCCCCCCCCATGCCTCTCAGCTCTGTCCCATCATTCCCTGCTCCTACCACCCCTTCACCTCCCACCTTCCCTTTTCCTCCCCCTCCCCCTCCCTCCTTCCCCTGAGTCCTTCCATGCTCCAAGCTACATGACCCCTTGTCCACAGTTATCCTTCGAGACTGGGGTCAGGGACAAGCCTTGATGGCCCCCTTTCCTTCGACATCAAAGTGGGCTTGGAGCCCATGGGGAGAAGCCCAAGTTGGGAGCACATCCTTTATTTCTTGGAAAGGCTCGGGCAGAAGCTCTTGGGTCTGACAGATGCCTTTGCAGAGGGCTAAGTGTATGTGACAGCAGAGCCCTTGTTTATTTCCTAGTCAGTGTATTGAAAAGAAATGGAGCCATCTCCCCCTTCCATACCAGGGAAGCTGGCTCTGTTTATGGTTTATTTAGAGGTCTGAGCCCTGATCTTAAAATACAGCCACCTGCTCTCACACATGGCAAGGCTTGCTGGGGAGATGGTGAGGGGGTGGAGGGGCGGGGAAGAGGAACCCTGGGAAGGGGGATGAAGGGACCCCAGGCAGTGGCCCAGATCCCTTGCACCTGGGTAGCTGCTATCTCTGCCTTCCCTGCCAATGCAGATCTCAGCTGAGCCCACACATCTCAGACTCAGCTTTTCTCCCTGACAGGCAAGGGTGCTGCTCTGGTGGCTTTGCGGAGGGAGCTGGGCTGCCTGACCTACATTCCCCACTCAGGGGGAAGGCTGTTCCTGTCCTTCCCCGTGACCTGGGCTATGGTCAAAGGGTGCCTGTGACCCTGCCGGAGTAGAGACCTGTGTCCATCTGTCTGCCACCAGCCACCTCCCACCATAACCTGAGTGTCTCTTAAAAACCCAGACGTCACTCCTAGAAGCCCTCCAGGGGTTTCCCTGCATGGAAAAGGAAAGCCACTTGCTTCCTGCTGCTTCTAGACCTTCTGTGATGTGCCCCTGCCCAGCTGGAAGACTTGGGCCTGGCAAAGGACCTTCGCACTACTGCCCTTTCTGCTGTCCATGGGAGCCTCACATGGCAGGCTTCCTCTTGTCATCCGGATCTTGGTGTAAATGTCATCTCCTCCTTATTACCCAGGCTACACTGGGCCCCTCTGTCTTTGTCCTTCATTGACTTCAGCAGCACATTCATATTAAGTGGTTATTGAGTATGTGATTGAATGATGAATGAAGTAGGCTCCAACTGTGATCTTCAGTTATTCTGTACCAGCCAGAGTCTTGGCCCCAACACCTCCTCCTCCTGGTGAACAAGAAGGGGCCTGGAGGAAGAAGGGATGCTGGGCCTAGGGCTGTGGTGCAGAGCCCCAGGCTGGGGCACAAGGATCTTCTCAGGAGTTAGACCTAGCAACCTAGTGCATCTCATCCCGAGTTATACATTAGTATCACCCAGGGAACTTTAAAAATGGTCAGTGTTCCTAGACATCTTGGGCCTTGCACCAGATCAATTCAATTTAATTTCTGGTGGAGGCCACAGGAAATCAGTGTTTTCCTAAAGCCTACTCCGTGATTCTAGTGTGGGACCATGGTTGGGAGTGTGACAGCTGTCACTGGGGGTGTGGACCCAGAGCTGTGTGCACACAAGCTGGCATCCGGCGGTCAGCACCAAGGGCAGGGGCTGTGACTCAGTTCAGCAGACACCTACCTATTGACCCAACTCTTGAGATGGTGCCTGCCTGCAGTGGGAGCATCACAAAGGCCTTCAGCATCACCTCCCTCAATCCTCACCTCCAGAAGGGATCCCCGTGCCTGCCGCTCTCAGAATCTTTTACCTTGGAGATAATCACGTTGCTGTGAGGAATGGTCACCATTTCTTCTCCTTATAACGGGGTCAGTAGCTTAGTTTTTGCAGACGGCAGTAAGATGGATGGAGGACAAGGCCTGTCTCCATGGACTACAGTGGAGAGGGTACCAAGGCCTGGGAAAGACAGGGACCCGAGATAAGGAGCCCATTGGGGCCACCAGGGAGAGCAAGGTGGCCCAAGTAGGGGAGGGGAGAAGCCAACTTTGTGGAAAAGGGGGCCAAAGTAGAAGACAAATTGGGGGAAAGGGAATTTTATGGAGTTTTGCTGCACACCATGGATGCAATGCCTCCTTAGATCTTCTCTCAGGAAGCAACAACAAATATTTGTATAGCTTCTCCATTGTTTCTGGATGTAGGACTGAGGTCTTTGCTAAGGGTCCTCTGCACTTGGTGAACACAGGGCCTGCCCCTGGGGAAGGTGGGGGCTGCAGCCTTTTATACCTCCTGCTTCCAGCCTCTTCTCTGGGAGGGGGACTCCCCAACCAGCCCCACTGGGCTCTACACTGAATTCCCCAGAACATCATGGGACAAGGCTAGAATAATTGAGAGAAAATTCATTAAATTTAGACCAGTTTTACCACCAGGGAAAGGAGCAACATGAGGACAACATGGCTGCCAGGGTGGGGGCAGCTTCCTCCTTCCAGGGCCCCTCCAGCCCAGTCCTCACCTGCTTCAGTGTCTGACCATCTTTCCTTTCTTCCTCAAGTCTTCCTCAAAGCCCGTAGCATAGACAGAGTTTGAGGCTGGGACGCCCAGGAGCTCCCTCTCCACCTGCCTCCTGAGGTGTGTCCTCTCTCCCGCTGTCTCTCCTCTCCTGCCAGTTTCCTCCTCTGGGTGATTGACAGCTGGACCAAAGCCCTCAGCTTCTCCTACTGGCTCCACTCGGCCCTGTGGGATGCCAAGATCAGGACAACTAACCTTGAGGCTCTCGTGTGCTCGTGGAGTAGT